GGGGGGGGGGGGCAAAGAGTTTGAGAAACAGATCTATAGGTCTATAAATGCTTTGAGCGGAACTTGTTACTCAAATCATTTGTACTGAGAATCGTCGGGGTGCCTCTGCCCACCAGAGAAAACAGCACAGAAGTTACGACAAAAGTGAATCGGAACCACCCACAGGGAAGCGAAAGCTTGGGACGGGACTCACTCTCGGAACCTCCGGCTGTGGATTTTGGTGATGGTGGAGGCGGCGAGGGGACTCCCTACGCCGGAGCTGGCCGGCGAGCCTTGGGACACGGGCGTGATGCTGTACGGGGAGTTCTGGCTGGCCGGGGAGAGCGAGGGCTCACTGGGCACGCTCAGACTGTGCTCTGGAAAGAGAATCAATAAATCATTATAAGATCATCATCTAGGTGCCTGACTGACAGTTTAATTCAAAGGATTTTATGTTTTAAACAGAGGACCTGGCCGATCACTAGCCAGTTTTCCTTGTGACGCAGCACTTCATCAAGTCAGAGCACCCTTGGGACCAAGCTAACATCAGGCGAACATCTGGCCTACTCACCGTCTGGGGTCAGGTGCTCCTGGGTCAGATCCTCAGTGAAGGACAGCGAGGAATCATCTTCCTCTTCCTCTGCTCCTGCCACGTCAGAGTCCAGAGGCGGCTTCCCCTTCTTCCCCTCCCGCTCCTTCAGGATGACCTGCGGACGCAGACGCACATGTTCATGATCGTTCCTCAACATGTTAATGGGAGCCTGAAGGCTTCCTCAGCTCTATATGTTCCATGGGTGTTAATTACTGTTGACTATTTATTTATTTGTCATTCATTATTTAAAGGGCTCATGTAACTGTAATTGCTTGCTACCCATTAATGGAGCAGAAAATTGATTTTTAAAGCAGAAGAGGGTTGCTCTGCCTCTCTGCTGCCCCCTGGTGCCTACCTTCTTCAGTGCAGTGGGCCTCTTTGCCTTGGGGATCTCCCGCTCCTTGCCTCTCTTGACCCGAGGGGCACTGGAGTCCAGGATGTTGTGAGGCGAGGTGCAGGCTTGGTTCCTGGCACTGGCACCTGAGAACTTGCCCCCGCTGTCCTTGACTGGGAGGCCAGTCAGCGTGCCGACTAGCGGAGTGACGGAATGACATCATGTTTCAAACATTCTAAATAGCTTGTATCACTATTTCAGATAAGATATTTTATTGATGAAATTCAGATTAAGAAACTGCATAAGATATGCATAAGGTGTCAAACGTAACTCCCTTTCACTGTTCAAGTTCAGTAACTTAACTACTAAGACAACTATTCCCACCGTATAACCAGTCCTCGGCTTCTTATCGACACTAACATCAGTTGCTGTCTGCTTTAAATTGATCGCCCTCTTGTAGACACCATGGCACTAAACCATTTATTAATGTTAACACAACAGGATGCACAGTTTTGCTTTGAGATTTTATTTCTGCATTTTGCACTGTCTGCAGAATTATGTCTGTAGAGTCTGCAGAACTATGGGACAAAACTGCAACAAAAAACATGGAGTTTTCAATAGTTTGAAACAACTTTTTCTTTTTTTTTTAAATGTACATGCCTAGTTTTTCAGTCTTGTTTGTTGAATCAATTGCGAGTGTAGTCAACTGTGAGCACTGGATCGTCTACCGAACCGAATCGTGGGTAGACTGTGTTAAAGGTATGCTGCAGACCAGAGTCATAACCAGGGGTGGAAAGTTCAGGTCCAGAAAGTACAAATCCAGACAAAGGTTTTGTTTCAACCAACCTGTTGGGAGTCACAGGCACTGAGTACTAAACTGGTTGGTTGAAACAAAACCTTAGTCTGGATTTGTACTTTCTGGACCTGAACTTTCCACCTCTGGTCCTAACACAGTGTCCCCTGTGATATATTTGATTTATTTGAATCTATCCTACAGAGCAGAATGCAAGTCCCTCCGGGAACGCGCCAGAGTCCCCCCATGGCCAAACCCACCCCACACACCAGGTCACTCTGTTTACAGCTTCCTGATTGGGAGAAAACAGGAAGTCTAAGGACAACGACACGAAACAGTAGAGTACGGAGCAAAGCACAGATAGAAGCAGCTCGTTACTAACTCATTAAGGCAGTGGTTCTCAATCCTGTTCCTGGTGCCCCACCTGCCACAATGTTTTCATTCCAACCCGACCTTAATCAGGCTTATATGGTCCTTAATAGACTAAAGCTGCTTACAGACCGAACGCGACATGCGCTGTACTCACCGCGAGGCTTCTGCGCAAAGAGTAGGCGTGACTTTCAAAACTCTCTCCTGTCATTTTGGCTCGCGGTCAGTAGCGACGATGTATATTTCGCATTCAAAAAGATTCCACGCTTGTGTGATATAGCTGTGGGAACTCAGACACGGACAATATAAGTTTTTCCTCCATTTCGTTTTCTGTTCCCGGTTCGGTGCCTTGTTTCTATTGATCGCGAGACAATGCACAGGGTTGGAACAAAAACATTCTGGCAGGTGGGGCGCCAGGAACAGGATTGAGAAGCACTGCATTAGGGACTCGTGCCCTGGGATCAGCCTCAGGCTGTGCTGCCTACCGAGGCTCAGGAATGTAACCTCACCCCATACTTTCCATCGCTAATTAAGCCACTGGAGCCTGAAATGATGCAACCCCATTGGCCCGGAGAGTTAAGGGGCGGGACTTCCTGTGCTTTCGCTATGGCGGGACAGAGCGGCGAGCCGTGGGCACCTGTGTAGGACAGGGGCTTGGTGTTGGTCAGCTGCCGAGCCTTCATGGCCTGCTGCTGCTTCTCCAGGGCCGCCAGCATGTCTCCCAGATCCAGCTGCACTGGGGTCTTGCTCTTCTTTCCCGCCGCTTTAGACAGCGCCTCCTGCAGGCGACATGGAGGCGCTGTTCTCAGATCCACATATGACAGCACACACAGACACCCAGCAGCTCCATAAACGACCCCAACATGCCAACGGGGGGGCAGCTCCCTCCCCAGGTCCGGCCCTCCCACCTGCAGCTTCTTCTGCTCCCAGCTGATCTCCGAGTACTCCTGGGCTGTGGCCAGGGCGGCCGCCAGCGCCTTCTTCCTCTGGCTTTTGGCCCGCTTGGGCACCGAGGTGGTGATCGGTATGGGCGTCTTCACGATGCTGATGGGCGAGCCCTCTGGAAGACTGTCCAGCTGACGGGAAAGACAGGCTGGCTTCAGCAGCGCCTCCCAGGACCCGCCTCCCCAGGACCCACCCCCCCCGGCCGGTGCCCCAGGGCTGGCCGCTTTGGCTGTACCTCTGCTCCCCCCATGACATCAACCCCAAACCCATCTTGATGCAATTGCTAAACTGGACTCTGGTCCTGCCATGGTGCGACAGCCCATCCCGGCCAGTGCGGAGCTGCAGGCAGGACTCTCACCAGGCCCTTGGGGAGCTTGGGCGGGACGCATTCAGGGGTACCCCGGGGAGGACTTACTCCTCCTCCTCCTCCTGACATCAGCCCGGGAAACTCCTCTTCATCCTGGCAACAGAACACCATCTTGCATCTTGTCGAGCTAACCTGAACACTCTGCTCTCCATTTAGCTCCTAGAATAACCCCCCCACAGGGGGGCTCAGGGATGTTCTTGCTCTCACCTCAAAGTAGAGGGGCTCTGTGCTGGGCTCCGTCCCCAAAAGCAGCTTCCTCTGAGGGCCAGACCCCCTTTCTGCCATGCTGGTCCCACTGCGGCCCCCCTGCTGCACCTGGGTGTCCTGCTGAGGACGACAGGAGTCAGGGGAGGAACACGCCGCATTGGGGGGAGCCAGGGAGGAGTGTGCCGCACGGGGAAGTCGGGGGAGGAGTGCACCGGGCAGGGGGAGTC